ATGTTTATCAGTACATTACAGAAAATAATGAACTTTATCACAATATGCTAATTTTTTGAGAAGGGCCTGTATAGCTTAGGGCCTAAGCTATGTGGAAGGACAAGGAAAGGTTGGTCTAAGTCTTAGGCCTACCTTTCTTTGTCCTTCCTTTCTAAATGATGACAAATGTTTGATGTAGTCCTCACTGTCTGAAAGTGAAGCACTGCAGAATGTACAAGTTGCTGTATGCTTTCTCCTGGATGTTATTCTGCAAATATATTCTTTATGAAGCCAAACTGTATTTCTGGAGATTTTGCAGACATCCTCTCCCTCTCCCAGACAACTTGCTCACTTTCTTGGAGTGCCATGTGCGAGGTGGTGAGGATGGGTGACAGCAGTAACAAATATACATAATTAGCAATGATTCACACATGGATTTAAATCAGTATGTTTTACATCCAGTGAGAGCAAAGATGATGGGGTGGCTGTGGCGGAGTGGTTAGGTGAGTCGTCCTGGAACTGGGAGGTCGCTGGTTCGATCCCCTGTCCAGCTGTCTCAGCCGTTGTGTCCTTGGGCAAGACACTTCACCCACCTTGCCTACTGATGGAGGGTCCAGTGGCGCCGGTGCATGGCAGCCCCACCTCTGTCAGTGTGCCCCAGGGCAGCTGTGGCTACAGTGTAGTTTGCCATCATCAGTGTGTGAATGTGAGTGTGAATGGGTGAATGTCTGTTAGTGTAAAACGCTTTGGGGTACGGAGGGACTTGAAAGGCGCTCTATAAGTTCAGTACCATTTACCATACCATTTACCATTTGTTTTATTTGTTTTATTATTGTTTGAAATTAATATGTTTTTTGTTGTAAATAGGAGCAGATATAAGATTTTTGTCTTCTTCTTCTGCCTTTTGTTTTTTTGTTTGATTTGCATTGTTTTGTTGTATGTAATGTGTTTTTTTATGAAATGAATAAATACTAAATAAAAATAATATAAATCAATGCTTAGATTAATCATTTTCATATATTAAAATGAGTCTTTTCAACAGTTCTGATAGGTCTGTGAAAGGTGAAACCTGTCGGTACCTCAGGCAGCTCACTAAAATCCCCCTCGTTGATATCTCCGGAGATGCGGTGGTACGTCTCGGTCATATACTGGCCGATGAAGATGAAGGCATAGGCCGTGGCGAGCAGAGGGAACAGTTTATACTGCTGCGTCTGGTAGTCGAGGATCTGAGGCTCCGGTTCGCTGTGGATCAGAAGGTTGGGAGGGTTTTCAGCACTTGTGTTTGACAGTAATGACTTTTCCTGTGATGATTGTGAGTCTGAAGAACAGAAGCATTGCACACTGACCCCGGTCGGATCTCAGACTGGTGACGGACGGAGCTGTAGCGGATGGCGATGGTGCAGGCCTTGGAAAGGACCATACCCGACTCCCTGACGATCATGGAGCGGACAAACACCATGGTGCCGTAGGTCAGCTTGGAACTGGGTGGCTTCACGTAGGTTCCATCTGGCTCCACCTAGTGGAGAAAGTCAGAATTACAACAGATGCTCCAGCAGCTGAAGTTCCTTTAAATACATTTTTATTTTACGCTTTCAAGCATCACTTAAAAACATTTATATAAATGTTTATAAATTTAATGTAAATGTCTTAATGTAAATTTAAGAACAAACTATCAATTCAGCTCAGCAAACATAAAAAAATCTATCTGAAAAGTTGGAAGAAGTGAATCAAAAAAATGTTAAAATGCAGAAGCTAGAAAAATATTTAATAATTGCTCTGCAAGTTAAAAATATTGGCAGAACTGACTCTTCATTATCTGTTTATCGTAGATGAATGCAGGTAGTGTGGCTATAGGATTGCGTTACGAAACATCTGAACAGAAGAGACTGTTTTAAATAACGAGCAACTGTACAAGTAATCTGGAGTCTAAATAATGAAATCTGATTGTTGAAGCCCCTGCTCCTCGTACCAGCTGCTTTATGGTCTCTGTAATTTCCTGCAATTTTAGCAGAAACTATTATCTCTAGATTCAAGAAGTAAATCAGGACTTTTTTTTAAAGCAGCATCACCTTGGCATATTTCATGAGCATGTTCTCCCGAGGAATTCTCACTTTCTCCAGTTTCAAGAAGCCGTTGTCGACTTCATTGAAGCCAAACTTGGGACCGATATCACCGACTACAATACCTAGGCGGAAAAAGGTCAAATGAGTCATGTGGGGGTTAAAAATGTGGGAAAAACAAACACCAGATCCGCTGTGTTTACCTGGCAGAGGTTTATGTGTGGTCATATCACGGACAGGCACGATGAAAGCATGCAGACCGTGGTAGTTTCCAAGACTGTAGAGCTGGGCCAGAACTATGGCGTAGTTGGAAGTCTTCCCGACTGGAAACAGAGAAAGAGCAGAATAAAAACACCTCCTGGTGGCTGGAAGTCTACCCAACAGACGTCTGTAGGAGACAACTCCACACTAGACTTGTGCTGACTTTACTCCTGCTTGTTTTAAACACATTTAATGGTGTCAACATTTAAATCAGACAAGTTCGTGTACACTCATCGGACACTTTTTTAAAGTGTTTTAGTGAGTATTTTAAACTCATTTAAGCACCCAGACTGAAAGAAAGGAGATTTAGAATGTGAAGAGGTGTTTTATTAAACACAGAAACATCTCTAGGGTTTACAGAATGGTCAACAAAGGGCAGCTGGGGTAGATCAGTTCTAGGATATAAAAAGGCAACAGAATGCCCTCTCTGAACACAACACGTTCAACCTTAAAGCAGATGGGCTTCAGCAGCAGAAGATTACACCACAGCCCTGTTTCAGGAAGCAGGATAAGTGGAAATCCTGAGTAAGTTCTGGGGTATCTATGTGCACATCCTGAGTTTTGGGTTTCAGAAAGCCAGATAGTTATCCTGAGTAAACTTACCCCTACAACTTACTCTGCGAACCAACCCTGTTCTGTAGCAGGATTACTGGAACAAATCCTGAGTTTGTCTCACTTTTTAGCTGAGATCTGCATGAGGACAGAGTGTCTTTTTCTAAAGGAGCCTGTAGATGTTGGAGTATTAATACTCTGCAGAAATTTATGTCAGGAGAGAGAGTGATAAGACCAAGATTAGACGTCTTTCTGGATGAATCTGTTTGAACATTTGTACAGGTTTTTAATTGCTCAGGTTTCAATCTTTTCAAGTCCAGCTCGTAGCTGTTTCACAGGAAGCTTTAGGAACAGAAAAATGACCAAATTCCATTTACATTTCCACTTTAATGAAGTTATGATCAAAGGTGTAAATTCTTACAGAAGTATATATTTTTATTTTATTGCATATAGAATTTATTCAGGTTTTTTTAATGAAATAAAATTATGAAAAAGAAATTACAGAAGAAAGTTCTCTTCAGCTGATYGTCCATCACAACTATTTTTGTGAAAAATTAACAGTCATTCTGATTCACAATGAAAAGTAAAATAAACTTATATTAAATATCGGCAGAGACAAGATGGAATAATACACATTACTTTTCGGGGGAAATACACTAATGGGTTGAAGCAGTGAATTCTGTAATTTATTTGTTAAAAGGTTGAACATTAAGAGCTTAGACCTGACCTTACCTGACTTTACTGTTTTTATATTTAATCTTTATTTGCTGCCATGTTCGTTTAGTACGGGCTGGGTTCACCTACACACACTTTTATCCACTTGAATAAAGAATAAAAGTAAAAATAAATATAAAAAATAAAAGTTTAGATTCATGTAAAATCATAATGACTTGATCAGTAATTCTCTGCCTCATTAACCCTCTTTCTCTTGCAGCAGCAGCAGGATTGCTTTTTTATTTCAATTTTTTTTTAAATATTTGTTGATATTCTCCATGTGCCGTCATTCATATTTTTAGTCTCAGCACGAGAAAGGGACTTCCTGTCTTCATATTTTCTCCCACTGCCATGGTGAATCGTGTTATCTGACTTCCATTGATGAGGCTTCGTGCTCCAACTTAACTCAGGGTAACTTGACTCAGGATTAAGTTACCCAGTTGATATCAGCTGTTCTGAAACCAAAAATCCTGAGTATCACAGAGCGGGGTAAGCTGACTCAGAGTCTCTGCGTTAACCCAGGGTTTGTTAAGCCTGCTTTCTGAAACGGTGTACAGGATTGTGAATAGTAGTTTAAAATAATTGATTATTCACAATAAAATGTGGAAGACCTTCAATAGACCTGCTCCAAAAACTGTAAACCACCTCACTTTACATAAAAAAATAAAACTAACCTCTAGTATATTTCACTCAGAATGGACCAGACACAACTAAATATGAACATGCTTACGTCCTCCAGGCCACCACTTGATGGAGCTGACGGTGGGCGAGTTCAGAACGAACTCCTGAGTGTCCGGATCGAATGTGGCGGTKGTCTCCAGGCCTCTGAGGTGCGTGCCTAACATGAGACGACAGAATCAAAGACCACCAGGCGTCCACAAACCAAGATGAAGAGAACACAGGTTAAAAAAGGCATTAATGAATATCAACTTCACGTTTTGTTTTCCGTGACAAAAGATTAAACTAAAAATTATTTCTTAATAACATCATCAGATTCAAAGCCCAGAAATCTTAGCATCAATCAACACGAAATATAAAAACATRATACGGGTTAGCATTAGGACGTTTAGCCAATGAGAGCTAACTCCTTTTCTTTCAAATACAAATTTAAAGCCAATTCAAATKTTGCTGGAGTTCTAACATGAAGGAGTAAAGCGATGCATCTTGTAGTGTTTGACAGATCTTAACATGCAGCAAACATCTGATGAGAAAACACAATTAAAGGCAGTAGGAGATTAGGACATCTGAGCCAAAGACAGATTATAAACCGAGCTGGAAAAATACAATCTGACTGTCAGAATGTGTAACAGTGTTGGAGGGGAGTTTATCTAAAGTGATATCTAACAGTGGGCAYGAAGCCTAACAGACAGGGGGCTAAGCTACAGATCTGTTGGACCACTCAGTTGTTGCAGGATCAATTACATCCACTCATTTAAAGATTTGTTTGGTTTTTACCGTGGCCCATCTCAGTCTGAGCGTAGGTGCCGATGATCTCTAGGTTCCAGGTGGGCATGAAGAAACGCTCCATCTGCTCTGGGGTGGCCTGGTTGAGCAGAGTGGGCAGGAACATCGCCAAATGGAGGTCCAAGGGCGATGGCCTGCCTGGGTGCACACAACTTGGCCAAGCAAAGAGGGACGAACATCACAACAGAGCAAAAAAGCAGGTGGTGATAAGGAGAACAGGAGGAAGGAAGGAAGGAAGGAAGGAAGTGTTGTTGGAGTCAGAATAAAATGAAATTGAAGTAAACAGAAGAGAGTTGTGGTTAATTATGGACGTGGTTTGTGAAGGAAGGAGAGGACAGAGAGGTTGTGCAAAGCAAACAATGACAACAGATGTGACAAATAAAACAGCTTTTGAGCATGACATGCATATTGGAAGTGTTGATTCCAAATAAACTGTATGATTCAAATTTACTTTAAGAACTCATTTCATTCTCATGTCAACATGTCCTTATAGTCTAAATCAATCATGGATTCTGGTCCGGAACAATAAAGAACGATGCAGTCAGGAAAAAAAAAAAAAAACCACAATAAATTCAACCTTCTTTCATTCTACATTTTTACGTATCAGGACAGAATAAAAATTATCTGATTTTTACCAGGTTTTAAAATTTAAGCTGAAGTGTAAAACACACACAACAGATTCCACCATGTTGTTTTGACACACAAAAAGCGCCAAAATAAAGCTGTGTGTCCAAGTCCTCATGATCCAGCAGATTAACAAAACCACATGCAGTAGTTGTTCTATCAATCAGATGGCTGTGGAGACTTTTAGGATCACTTTTCTTCCTAACATCACTTGAAGTTTTCAGACATTTGTTTCTGCACTCTCTTAGGATCCACATTTTAGTCAGGTTGAGGTCCTGGACTTTGACTGGACCATTGCAGCATTATTTGGTTGTGGATTTGCTGCTGCGTTTGGGAACGTTGTCTCGTTATGTAGCTGATGGTTGTGCTAATGATCAACCCTCTGCCATTGTGCTTCAGTGATGAACTTTGTTTGATTTTCTCCAAACACCATGCAGTAAAGGTTAACTTTAATATCTGTCCAGAGGACATTGTTCCAGAAGACTCTGAGTTTGTTCAAAATAAAGTGATGATACCATGTTCCTTCTCCTGCACTCCAAAAATGTCGTACTTATTTTTAGTTGTTTTTTTTTTTACTTTAGTTAGCAGCTGTTTTAAATATTTTCCCCTTTCTAATAATCTAACAGATAACAGATGCCAAATTGTTTAAACATTAACTTTAACCCTTCCCAAGTTGATTGGAAGTTTCTTGTTAGGGTCATTGCTGTTTTTTTTTTCCACCCTGGCATTGTGGTAACACACCTGTAAGCTCCAGAGCAGCAAATTAACTTTTATTGAGCACCTGGCTGCTATTTTCTTCTTTAAACCCTAGGGAAGCAGCAAGGTTAGAATTTGTTTTACACACGTTTTCATTTTAGGTTTGTTTTTAATTATAACGAATGACAAGGAGGGATCTGTTGTACAGTTTCACATGAATCTATTATTTGAATCATTTTAAAGCATGATTTTTCTTATGTGATGATACGTAAAAAAAAAAAATACTTGAATGAAGGGGTTATTTTTCCCATAACTGCATCTTCTTAAAAGGGCAAAAAATATTGATCTTAAGATTTCTGAGTAAATGTGTACAGATCATTTACAAAATTGATGTACTTGATTAAAAAAGAAAGGAAGATCAGATGGCCGAGGCAGATGGCCGCCTGCTCTGAGCCTGGTTCTGCTGGAGGTTTGTTCCTGATTAGCAGGGGGTTTTTCCTCTCCACCGTTTGCTCAGGATGGGAGACTGTGATGAAGTGATTCAACACAATCTGTTGGTTTCTTCTTTAGATTGTTCTTTTTATGTACAGTGCTCTGAGACAACGTATGTTGTGACTTGGCGCTATATAAATAAACTGAACTTGAAGAAAATAAAGGTCTGCCCTGGCCTACATTCCCTCTCACCCAGGTTTGCCTCTCAGTTTACAAAGAGACATTCAAAGGCCTCATTCTGGATCCTTGTCTCACAACGCTGTCAGTTTACCTTCACCGAGACAGGTTTCAGTTTTTTTTCACAGAACACCGGGAGAACAAAAGCTGCTGCTATGACATTAATGGCTTTGTGTTTTGAACAAAACAAAACTAGTTTAGTTAAAATTTACAAGTATTAATGTGCTAAACCTCTGTCAGCTTTAGCTGAACAATGTTAGACACACATTATGAGGAAGATATTAAAGGAATATTTAAGATATTTTGACGTGAGGTTCTGTGTAAAAGAGCATGTCATATCTTACCTGTTGTAGATAGCTCTGTGAACAACCTCACTTTGGAGGAATACAGTTTATCTTTGGCAGCACTGATGAGCTAAAGGCTAGTCCAAATGTAGCCTAAATATCACAAATACAGTGGTTTGCAAAAGTATTCATACCCCTTGAACTTTTCCATATTTTGTCACATTACAACCACAAACATAAATAT